ATGAACTCGTCTCTTCAGGCATGTTACGATGAGCTAAATATATATGGTTCCATTTAAAAAAGGAATCAATATTTCTGCAATAAAAATTCAATAGAATAATATTATGCATGACCATGTGTCCCATGTTACATATAGTAGTTTTAGTGAGAACTGCATCTCAGTATACGCAACGATTCAGGAGAAAATTGAAGTGAACATCTTAGGTGGGCCACACGTCATATTTGCTACCTGGAAATGGTAAATTGTATACCTAAATTAATAAAAAGAGGTATAATATTTTAATTTATATTTGGTCTATTTTCAGGCTCCTGGCACCACGAATATCCTTCAGGGTAGTGCCAATTTGTTTCAGGATAGCTCACAATAAAATTAAGGAAGTGGTTTATGAAACTTGCGAGGTTACGTGGGAAGTACCATTACCTGTCTCTTCATATATTATCACCACCCAGGGCGGGGATATATTTTCAGCAAACGCCGTTTTCTATAACAACAACACTCGACGAAGTAATCACATTCATCAGGTAACTGTTCCAACAGCTCACTACACAAAATTCACATATAATACATGTACATTATTTTACAACACCTTGCCAGATGACATTAAACGATTAAATTCGATACAAAAGTTCAAGTCCCAAGTAAAATCTTTTCTGCTGCAAAACTGTTTCTATACAATTAGAGACTATACCGAGCATCCAAAAGGAAAGTAATATTAATTTTAACAATGAAATTTAATGTATAATATACCATTTGGATTGTGTAATTGTAAAGAACTTGTAACAAGTATTGTACTTCAGCTTCTTTGTCAATGACCCCATCTCGATCGGGTTTTCGTCCAGTTTCCCTCATCCTCGAGCAAAGTCTGAGATGGCCCCTTGTTTGGCTTCTGGACATAATATAACTTCAAATTAACGTCTCCCCATCTTACTCGCGTCCGTGGTCTACCACGTGTCCCCAGGGTAACGCTAAATGAGCAACAGTGATTCGCCACCTACGTGGTGGATCATTGTAGCTTGCGGATCCCTACAAGCAGAGGGGACAGTCTATACTGGACAGCGCCTAACCAAATGGCTAACATGCTAAGGGTGGGCGTTGGCTAACAACAACAACAATAACAGATGTCCGTCACACACAGTTTCTGTTTTTGACGTAAATAAATAAATTTAAAAAAATATTTGTGAAGAAACATGCCGTATCCAATTATAGAAATGCATGAAAGGGCAGCAGACGAATCAAAGAAAAAGGGATTTCCCAAATTGTGTAGGCTGTTTGGGATGGAAACGAATAAGAATTAAATGTCCTCCCCATTCATGGTCGATGCTTTTTAACAACAAATTTTTTCTCTCGATCCATCTGCAAGCAATTGTTGATGCAAGTAAAAAATTTAGTAATGACGTTGAAAAGTTGTACAGTTGTAATAGACACTGGAGCTTAATGATGGTTCAGTGATAGTGGGGCATTTTTTCCTCAATTGTGGGGGAAATGTGGAAAGAAGCGAGGAGTGCTTCAACAAGCCATACCCGAAGCCTCTAGACCCCGGGGTTGAGTGGATGCCCCATGTAATACTTGCTGACTGGGGCTATCAACTGACGAAATATTTGATGAGGCCATATCTTGGCCTCATATAAGAAGTCTGAAACGTGGAGTAGGACCGCATGGACGATGGAGCATTCAGTGATGATGCTGTGTGGTAGACTGCTGCAGGAGACGATCAGTCCTGATGCCACGATGCACCAGATGGCCCTGCTAGCAGCAGGTAGCGCATTTGATTTATTCGATGTAGCTTCACTATGCGTAGTTTTGTTGAACACTTTTGCTTGTAATGGTAAGAGTAGAGGTAAGGGCGAGTTGCTGTTTTGTTAGCAATACAGAAAAATCATACTTGCAATTCATGTACCGATGCAAATAAGTTTCCTATAACTCAGAAACAAAAAGGGCTATTTTTCAAATATTGCTAATCTTGCGATTTTTAAAACTTATTTTTAAAATTTATTTATATTTATATAAGTTAAACTTTTACTCATCTTTCAACTATTTATAGTTGAAAAGACGGGAAGGGATTCTGGATCTCAAGAAAGCGCTCGCAGATAATCTTTTCCCCCCTACGTCACATACAGTTTTGTAATGTTTTTTTGACTGAATTAATCAAACAAATCAATCTTGAGAGCAATAGGACTCTGGGACAGAAGGTCTTCAATTACAGATAGAGCTGAGCCCGTCGGACAGTCGAGTGTGCTTTCGACATTCTTGTGGCCAAGTGGCGCTGCCTAAAAACTGAATTGCAGCTTGAACCAAAACACGTAGACACAGTTGTGAAACAAGTATGTGTGACACAACATTGTGATAAATGAGGAAGGGATTGATGAAGGGCGAGTAGCCAATACAATAATGCTACATGTAAAGCCTATGCAGTAATAGGGCAGTTCAAGAATTTTTTCAATGGAGAAGATGCTGCATGTGTTCAATATATTTATTCAATTTAAAATTCTCCTTGATATTATAACCTACTTTTCCCCTTTTTTACCTTAAAAGTCATTGACCCCATAATCCTCTACCTTCAAAGTCACCTAAGACATCATCATCATTTTGATATATTAGATGTATCCGTGATGAGGGTTTTAATAATGTTATTTAAATAAAAAAATATAATGTATTATAATTTAAAAAATAATGCTTAATCATTTTAAGGTGATAAAGAAAGAATTACTAATCATAATATTTAAAGTATTTTTAAGAAAGAATGAACTATAATAGCTTTTACAAATTATTTTATTCTTTATGAAGGAACACTATTTTGCTGCTTTTTTGTTCCAAATGGATTGCGTATTTTGACTGGACATGTTCACCAGTGGAAAAATCTTCTTCCATTAATTTCTTTTTCTGTTAATTTTTATGGCTTGCGCACTTTTTATCACTATTGGCACAAGTTCATAAAGTCTGGATCTAAAAGTGATTCAGTAAAAAAACTGCAATTAAAATTTTTGTTATTAGTTCTATATCAACATCATAGTTAGATTTTAAATATTCAAATGCTTGTAATCGTTCCTTTAAAGCATGTGTTCCAAGAGAATATTTCTGCGTTAATAAGTAACTTACAAAATTACTATTAGTTACTGTTTGCCCCTAATGTACATTTAAAAAATTTATTTGCAAATTTCACACGCCAGACATTATGATTCATACTTGTATTACATCGCCAATTGTACAGTAATTTTCTTAAACTTTGTCTAGTGCAATTAAAATTGGTTTCAAAATAGCTACAGACTCTTCTGCACTCCTTTTAATCATAATTCAGACCATTTTTATGTCATTATAAATTTTACTAAACCATGGTTTGAGTTACTTCATAAAAATTGTAGTAAAACGCTCATCTCAGAACTTTCATGCGGGATAGCTCCTTGCTCTACTAAGCCCATCAATTTGTTTTCTTTTTTTAATTTCTGAATTTTTTATCAAATTTGAATATTTAAATTTAAATTAGATTGAAATGAAAACCATATTTTTTGTAACCCTGTCCTCAAAACTAACGTTATAGTAGATACTGTAAACACTTACTTTAAACTTTTGAACACCTATGCTTTAAAGATACAAACTAATTTATTTTATTGCACACAATGTATTTTCTTAACAAAAATCAAAACAAATGGTCAACTCAAGTGAAGAAGCTATTTTCTTCCCCTACACACCCTCTTCTCAGTAATTTAATTGATTTCACCTAAATTTACATAAGACCACTTCAGCTCCAAGTGAGGCAAGTGTAAGTACAAAATATTTTGAACTTAATAAAATTAATGAAATGAAAAATTACAAGCTACTGCCATGGCATGCAAGAAGCAAAGATATCTGCATGTACAATTATGCATCCATTGATAATAACCATAAATATTTTAATATATGAAAATTAGAGAAATAAAACTTGTTCTTTATTGAGGATTGAAATCTTTTATTGCATGCATGAAGATTTGGTCAATCTTTAGCCTGACATCTAACTTTTTGAAGTCAAGCAAAAACTTCAACGTAGATTAAAACCTTAAAAGAAAATAAATCTCGGAATTAATACTTCATCTCTTATTGCTGCCATTTTTTGCCTTTCTAAATTAAACAGCTCGCATACAGCGGCATTTCCTCTTCCCTTTATATGATTGGAGAGGAGACCGAGGAGTGGAGGTTACTATGCTGTGGGAAGACTATCCCACTTCAAGGGAAATTATTTCCGCATTATTTCCAAGCATTTCCATCTGATATGAAAGGAAGAACGCTACTGACGGGGTTCGGCGATGTGCCGAGGGGCCCGCTGCAGACTCCTGTGGCTCAACATTTGTAGGTCTCCCAAGGCAGGAGAACATCCTGGAGGATGTCCATCACAGTAGGAGACGTTGGCTCTTTCTGTAACACCCGAGACGTCACAGTGACGCCACACTCGATTCTGGAACGACGTTACGTCGTGACGTCACGGCCGTCGCAGAATCGGGTGTGACGTCAATGTGACGTCACGAATGTTCCAGAAAGGGCCGTCAGCAGACCAGGTAGTGACCTTGTGTCGAAGGAAAGGAGGCCTGCTCGACTGGAGTGCGAACCCGCGTCGGGCTGTACTTGAGTTACGCTAGCCCCTGCTCCACGGGAGCCGGCGCGAGTGAGAAGGCTGGCGAGTAAATGAGAAAGCGCGACAGTGGCGCGTACGAGAATCAAGCGGCGCGACGGTGGCGCGAACTGGTAGCGGAAGGAGGCGGCGCGATGATAGCGCGACCTGTCAGCGAGGAAAGGAGGCGAAGCGAAGGTGGTGCGTCCTGGTGGAGGTGGAGGGGAACGGGGAATCAAATAGAGGGTTGGGTGACACAAGAGAAATGAAAACACGGAACGGGAAGACTACAATATGTATTTATAAATATGTTAAAAACTTATAGATACAAAATATTTAATAAATATAAAATAGAAAACAATAAAAAATCAGAGAGAGGCAGGACCGGAAAGGCCAAGGGAAGAGCACAGTGTCGCCGGTGCTAGTGGAGATGCAAGGAGCGCGCATCGTCCAAAACTCCCCGCATACACCGCAGCGCCTGCCAACACAGCCGGTGTCGACGGAGAAAGGGCATAGCGCGCCGAAGTTCTTCCACAAAGGCGTCACACAGCTCTTCAACGTAGGCTTCATCATCAGGCTCGAAAGACAGAGGAGTGGGGTCGCTCTCGTAGGGTACAGGAGCCGCGGCGATGGGAGTCGGGAGGATGGAGGAGGATGGTGGGGTATCCCACTGAGAGGGCAGGGCCGAAGGGTGGGCAGGGGGGACCAGTTGGCCGTTGGGTACAGGGACGTACGTGGATGCGGCGGGCGAAAAGGAATGGGTGGTGGAGGAGGTAGGGAAGACGGTGGACGGAACGGGGAGAGCGAGGGGAGTCGGAGGGGTCAACGAGTGGGAGGAGACGGGAGGGAAGCAGGTGGGAGGATCGCCGTGAGCGAGGGCAGGCAGAGCGGGCAGAGAGGGGGGAGGCGGCGGAGGAAGGAAGTCTGGGAACGTGGCTCCGTGGGAGGTGGAGGGGCGAGTCGTTGGTGGGCGGACCGGAGACATGGAGTCGGAGGGGGTTGAAAGATCTTCGACGCCAGGGAGGGCGGGAGGGACGGTGGTGCCCCGCACCGTGGAGGAGACGCCTTCTCCCTCCTCCGCAGCGGCAGCAGAAGCCTGAGGCGAAGGGCTGTGGAGCTGGCGTCGGCGCGGGCCCAGCGCAGTTTGCGCGATCGAGAACGGGCCGCGACCGCGCCCTCGCCCGCGCCGGCGCATCCGTCGCCCGTCGCTACTGCTTTCACCGCGGGATGTCCGTGAGCTCGGTGTGAATGAGGGCCTGCAGCAGCCGAAGCAAAAGTATGTCATGTGAAAATCAAAGTGAAACAACAAGCACAATGAAAAGCGAAAGAGAAAAAAACAAATAAGAAAATACAAACACAATATGTGACTTGTGACCCAATGTGCACATGGGGAGAAATGAACAACGTATATGTCGCCCCTGCTGTACCCACGCGGCAAGCACGACTCGAAACGTAACACACACACTGGCTATGCAGTTTGTCTCAGAAAGCAAAGAACGATATTGCAGTGTGGGAAAAGCATAGTTGATAGGTGGAATTTTTCCCTTTTTGCATTTTGCCACCGTACGTGAAGCCTATATTGTGGATCGATTGCGTTGAAGCGTTCCAGTAATAAGACAGACGTATCATAATTCAATGTTCGAATAATACATTGGCCATCTTTGACGGAAACAGTCTTTGCACCCGTGATTGTATAAAGTGTGCCTGTCGTCAAACACCGTAAGAACACCGTAAGAACACCGTGTCGGTGAGATCTATATTGCCTACAGACAAGGTATTCAAGGAGTTGAGGTTAGGATTTGAAGCAACACTGCAAGGAAGAGGTGAGGAAATCGAAAAATATAAAAATGCCAAAAAATGAAAAAAGGAGGCGGTACACGCACGACGACAGACCTCGGAGTGGGACAAGGAAACTTACTCGAATAACTCTAAAACTAACTCGAATAACATAAAACTTACTCGAATTCCACCGTTGCATCAGAATGGCTCATGGTAGGTGGAATAAAAACACGTTCTGGAAAGAGAAGACATCAGTATATACAATGCTACTACATATAAATAGTAAAAGTGTTATGCAGAATTCAATAGTACATGCACTAGTGGTAGTCACACGTCTAAGAGAGAGGTGTAATGGATGAGTTACCTGTGGCAAAGAGAGAGACGCGGCCGACACGTGGTTGGAAAAGGAGAGCGGAGTAGTCGAGAAGATGGCGAGTGTCGAAGACAGACTGACGACTCATAGGCGATCGCCTCCTTCAATATTCGAGCGCTGCGTCACCGCGCACGTGACGGTTGCGCCGCGGTAAACAAGACGAAAGGAAGGGCGGTTGCGCAGGTCTAGATGACTCATTGAACAAACTGGAATGTGGCAAGTGCGGTGCGGTATCGTTATTCTTATGCAACACGCAACGCTGTGCGAGCGGGTCACCTTGTTACCTAACACGTGGCATGGTCGGTAGATGCACTAATCTAGTATAAACAGGACGTGTAGGAAACAATAGTGTAGGAAATGACTGTTATCCTAGACGCCTCCTGGTGAGACGCGGAGGCACTTGCGGTTGAGCACACCCAGATGACTCATAGACCAAACAAGGACATCGAGGCTGCAGTTGCGCTGTGGTATCGTGTTCCGTATGCCACGCGCTTCGCCATGCGAGCGGGTAACCTTGTTACTACGCACGTCCACAACCATGGCCGTCGCCGGTCCATCGCATGTCCTACAGGAAGGGACCACCCCATCGTGGATGACACTACGCTCCCGCCTACCGGATCGTCATAGAAGTATACATCATTCCTCACCATTCGTCACCATTCGCGCAGTGACTGTGCGTATGTGGTTGTGATGCTGTGGAGAAAAAACGTTGCATGCTCCAGCCGTTTCTTCCCTTTTCCTATTGAATGAAAATACAGTTTTTTATCCAAAATTCTTTTTTTCTTATTGGTTGTTTGTTTGTTTGTTGCAATAGGTGTTTGTTTGTTGTCATAGGTCATTAAATTTGAATCACACAGTTTGTATGGTCTTATTTGTGGGTCGTGTGGTCTACTCTCTCTCTCTCTCCCTCTCTCACGTTGCTTAGACAGGAACCTTCCGCCCCGTGCCTGTAACAGGGATGTACTCAAAGTAGCGTTTGTACAAAATAAGCACGTACGTCGTGTTGGCAGGAATGTAACTCTTTATGGTAAAATGTATGCATGGGTCCAACGCTTTTCCTAGCGTTGGCAACTCGTGTTTTGTGCGGTCGAACACGAATAGCGGATACTTCTCCTTAAACTCGATGCGACCCACTGCCGATGCCGATTCTGCTGCTTTCTGGTAGCACCCGTGGAACGCTCGGAACCTAGCATTCGCCGATACATCCAGCAACCATGTCGATATCGAGGCCGTGTTACGGATATACTTTGTTGTTGATCACGACCTTGGCGTTAATCACGCTGAGGTAATCACAGGCGGACGTGTTCCCCCTGAGACGATTGCTTCGGTTCGTTTGCTGTGCGCGTATGACGTACAGCGGACTTTCCACGATCGACGACATCTTCACGGGCCATGCCCCACTTTGCATGGACATGTGTTGGTCCCACGCCATATATTCTATCGGAAGGGCAACTTGGTTGAGGATAAGGTTCTGGATGCGAACGTGGTTTTCTGCCTTCATGCGCATGAGCGACAACCGTGGTCTGCGTTTCCCACTCCTCATCTTCGCAAGTGGAAAACGCGTTGTCGTGGCTGGTAATTCCACTTCCACACCTGTCACGATGGGCCGAGGGTCCTCCATGACGCGAGTATGCTACCCAACGGAATACGAGCAGTGAACGCGCCTGTGGACGTGTTATTAACAAGGGGATGCCGCGGTGTCATATGTAAAACATGCCCAAATTTGTTTTTCATTGAATTTCCATGCCCTTCTGATACCATTGTAATTTTGATGTAAATTTTCCCTGCCGATACATATTGCCGATTACTTTAGAACATTACAATTTCGCCAACATTTTGGTTCCATTTTTCGTTTCTACAGAGAACTTGGACAGCCCTCGCATGCCGAGCAGGCGCCGAGGTTGGCCTTGAGGAGGGATAAGGTCAAATGACATAGGGGCAGCAGACCATACTCAATACACTCGTAAAGAAGATATTTAAAAGTTGTTTTTTAAACAAATTCACATGTCATGGCTTCATGTCGGTTTAATGTTCGCGAAAATTACCGTTATTTAATTTGTTCCTATTTGCATCGATAAATCAATTTTCTCACACGAAAACAAAGCACTACAACTTTACCGCACATTTCAGTTTGCACCGACTTGCGGAAATACGGGAGATTTCTTTTGCGTATTACGTCATTTCGCGATGCGTGAGAACACCCCGTAACAAGTGACAACTTTAGATCTGATTTTCTCTTCTCCCCGTGTTGCCTACGCGTCAACGCGGACGGTGTCCTTTGCCCTTTATCACCTTGTGTCGCACCGCTTCATCCAGCATCCAGCACGAGCTGATCGCACGTAGTGCAATGTGAGAAGTCTACTCGTTTTACAACGGGAAAGACGCGCCGGCTCTGGCAACACTTACGCCGTGTCCGGACTCCTCAAAAACCGATCAAAAATTAGTCATCATGGGGTGGGTCTACATTGCACCCTGCTGCGATCGTTCTGCACGCTTGTGCGCTACCCTCCTGAATGTACTCTCCTCACGTCACGGCCCTCGTTTATATCTTCTTCTTCTTCTCCTCCTCCTCCTAAAACGCCACCAGCACTCCATACGGTACTCAAAGGAAACAAATGGGAATTGTTTACCCGTCCCGTCGGCGACGCCTCCCGTAGGCGAAACGCGACCGTATGTCCCTTCCTCACACGAAATGGCGTGTCCGTCTCGAGTTTCTACAGTGAGAGGAGCTTGTCATAATCGACCACTCCCACTTACACCGCCAGCTGAATGAGTAGAGGCACAGCGCTGCGCACTGTAAGCGTGCCGGCGCACGGTATCGAAAATGTGGTACGACCCGTCCGAAACATCGTTGTCGCGAGAGTATGTTTCAGATACGACACGAGTACAGCGTCTTGCGCGTCGACCGGTTGGGCCAAATTGTTGAGACGTCGGTTATACACTTCAACGGTCTCAGGATGCTGCAAGGCGTCTACCTTCAAAATTTTCGTCTGGAAATATTCGTCAACGTACTTGTTGATACACGTACTGCGATACGCCTTTCCTCATTTTTATCACGTTTTTCTCTGACATATCGATAGGGCTGTGCTCCGTCATCATGCAGTCCACGTACGCTTTAGTGCACGACTCTTGCGCCACTTGGGAGTTCGCCAAGTCCGTGAGTCGTCACGACGTACTCCCAACACTCCCGCGATTTCCGATTTCCGATACCGTGTAGTCCAGAGGTATAATGTCCGCCTACGCTTTGTTCACAGCATCTTGTGGAGCCACAGTGTGCACGTGCGTGCCTTTCATGTCCACTTTATTCTCTTGTTTGACGGGTACGCGTGTCGAGAATAAGCGAGACCGCATCTGAGGTTTTGACAACGCCCCGACATTCGTGATCCGTTGTTTCTTCGCGTCGGAGACGTTTTCATTGAGGGAAAGGGCGGTTTCGATGTATGCACTTTGCACTTGCTCAGCAAGTCGCCAGTTCTCTTGATGACGTACGCCTCTCTCTCGCCTTCTTTCTCTCGCCTCGCCTTCTCTCTCTCGCCTCTTCCCGTCGTGCCTCGCCCCTTCACGTGTCCATTGCGGCCGGTACGTGTGTTATATAGATGCGCCGGCAGTTCGCGACGACCCTTGTTAGCATCCCGGACTATGTACGCGCCTTCCTCATAGGTCCATCGGACTGCAGAAAAACTTTCGACGTTTACGCTCCTCACCATGCCTAACGCTCTCAAATTCGAACACATTTACCTGTACGCGAAAACCGTCGATCAACCACTCTACAGGTTTAACGCTTAAATTCACCACGTGTACGTGCTTCAATTCCCCGAAAACATTACCACCACGACGCAAACCACCCCACGCTGGGCTTGTGTGGGGTGGTTTGCGTGGGCTACTGGGAAACATCATACATCGAGCCGTTGATGCTCTACCGTTCGACGGGCTACCAGTTGTTCAGGTCCGGCACACGATTGCAATCCTGTCTGGCGTGCGGAGAGCGAAACGTCGACGGTATAGATGCAGCATGTCGGGGGAACGACATCGCCTCTCATGTGCACAAGGACACGCCGGCGCGTCAAACGGCGGAGAACTCGCCGATTGAGCGTTTCCCGGAGCACCTGAACGTACGGTGGCCCTCGGTGTAAGTACGCCATGTCGTTACCTACGCTTTCACACCGGACAGCTAGTTCTATCTCCATGAATTTCAACGGACGCGTTTCCCTAACGACTATTTGGTGGAGCGCGTCTTGCGCAAGAAGGGCTTTTTTGCACTAGGTCAAATATCTTGGCTTCGACGCGCGGCACAACTCTTGAATTCCCACCACAGACGTGTAGGCGGCGCGGAGGCGGCGCGGAGGCGGCGCGGAGGCGGCGCGGAGGCGGCGCGGAGGCGGCGCGGAGGCGGCGCGGCTCTACTTTGTGCAGCTGTTTTGGCCCATCTCCTTGTGATGGGAGGAGTGGAACAAAATCCTAGTCCCGGTGTACAGGACGCGGAGGCGACGTGCTACAAATGTGACAGGAACGAGCGAAGAATTAGAAGGCTGGAAGCGGATTTGGCTGAGACCCACAATCATATTGGAGAACTGACTTAAGAATCAGGGATTTAGAAGACGTAACCAAAGAAAAGGAAGAGCAAAATGTCCGCGTCCCACATGCAAAAGAGAAGAGTAACGAGCGAACATATATGAGTGAGTCCCTTCAGCCAGGTGCTCCATATAGTAAGGTGAAGGTTCTAGTCGTCTCGATGCTGCGGTACAGCGGCGGCGTATTGAACAAAAAGGTGCCGACGTATTTTTTCCCGGAGTAGATATTGCGCGGATGACTGCGGTTGTGAATAAATCCGAACCAAATGAACAGACAAGTGGTTCTAGTTCACGTGGGAACCAATACGCGGAAAGGGCAACCTGTTTACGACACAATTAAACGATGTCGCACTAGGGCATTCTATCCGATCTAAATTTAAAAATGCGAGAGTCATTGTTTCCGGAGTTATGCGCCGGAATGATGTCCACATTAGTAAAACGCGGGACGTGAATTGTGGATTACTATGGGCTTGCGATAAATTTGATGGGCTGTTCGTTGATCCAAATCACTGGCTTGGGCACGAAGACCTAGGCCGGGACGGCCTTCATCTCAACTCACGAGGTGCGTGGAAGCTGGGATGTCTTCACGACCGTATACGATCGTTTTTACTTGGAACGTGACGACTGGAGGAAGAGGCAATAATGGCGCCATGAGCTGTAATGGTTGCGAGAAAGGGAGCGACGCGTTTGGTGACTGCTGCGGAGGAGGTGACGGAGGCGACGCGGGAGACGACCGCGGCGGGGGAGGAGATGGCAGTGACCGCGGCACATGAACCTAGAATGGACGCACGGGTCCCGAACACTGCCTCTCTGGTGAGCAAACGCTTCGCTAGATTGTTGCAGGTGAACCGTCGTAGTATCATGAATAAAGAAACCGAATTTTGGAATTTAATTGAAGCATGTGATCCTGATGTCATAATAGAAGCAGAGTCTTGGCTTTCAGACGCGGTAGCAAACCCCGAAATTCTTCATTCATACAACATTGATAAGGAATTTGAAATGACAGGTATAGAAATTTTCTGTTCAGGAAGCATCTTAGAGATTTTTGCTTGCTATCGTCCACCGGGCAACAGTTATGAAATCATAGGCGTCCTCTGAGAAAGAACAAAAAATATAAATAACCGCCATGTAGTTATTGTTGGAGACTTATATCTCCCAGACGCAAATTGGAAGAGGATTGTATTCGAAGGGAAAGTCCAACAACTAATCAGAGCGTAGGCTTCCGCGGCCGGAGTCAGTATTTACAAGGCTGTCCGGGTGACGCCACGTCCATGGCGAAGGTGGCGACGTTTCGGTCGCCATTCTGCGACCTTCTTCAGGGCGTAATGCGTTACGCCCTGAGGAAGGCATTACGCCCTGAGGAAGGTCGCAGAATGGCGACCGAAACGTCGGCACCTTCGCCATGGATGCGGCATCACCCGAACAGCCTAGTAAATAATTCCAACAACTAATCAACCGACTTGTCTCGGACAGCGGATTAGAGCATGTAGTAGACCGGCCGACCCGGCAGGATGCGATTCTGGATATTTGTCAAATTAGACCGAAAGATATATTCTTGTCGTGCGACGTTTTGGAAGGTGTAAGTGACCATAAAGCCGATTTCGTCGATTTACAGTTAAGTATTTCAAGGAAAAGTATTACCACCGGTATTCTAGTGGAGGAATACATGAAAGCGAATGTACAAGGGTTTCAAAATGACTTAAGAGAACGATATGACGAGTTCCTTAGATTAGGAGGAGGAATGGAAGAAATATGGGGAGCGTTTAAAAATATTTTAGTAAATGCTATGCAGGCTTTTGTTCCAAGTAAATTGTTAAAAAATAACTGCGATCCGCAATATTATAATGCAAAGATTAGGCGATGGAAAAGAAAAACCAGAGAAGCATTTAATAACAAACACCGTAGTGAAAATCATATGACCTTATTTTCGAAATTATTCAAAAGCATTAAGGAAGGAAAAGAAAATAGAGGAACGTCATTTGAAACGTATTCTCGATGCGGAGGGCAGTAATAATTGGTCGGTATTTTTTAAATACGTTCGTAGAAGGAAAGGAAGTTAAGACGAGATTCGAGTCGTTTGTGTTAATTATTCGCCAATAACGGACGACGTGTTTTGGCGCAGCAATCTTAGTGATAATGCCAGGAAGTAAATAAATGCCTCCTAAATAAGTCTATGTAAGTTGCATTGATTAAACCCCACTACTCTAGTTATTTTTAGTCCACGACATCATAATATTCTCCCATGGGAATGGCAACATTAATTGTTTACAAACGAGCAATTTCAAATAAAAATCGAACGGCAAAATTTGAGTTCGTAATATTCATATTGCTTGTGTATTTTTTATAATAAATTTTAAATTACCTTGAAATTAAATTTCAAGAACTAATTAATACTGAAGAATATCTTTCTTAAGTGTACAAAGATGGATTTTCAATTTAGTCTAACAACTTATCCTTATTCATGTTAACACATGTTAGTAACCTTTTAATGATTATATGTATTTGCCTTCAGAAAATAAATCAGTCTGAGTTTGTGGTGTTTTAAAATCTTAAATAATTAGAGCACAAAAATATGGCAGTGTTAAGCAACCCAGGAGAATCAAGTATAGTTGTAGAAGATTTTGAAGCGAAAACTTCCTCTTAATTTTATTTGAGACACTTTCGGTAACTTGGAAACACATCTGAAACAATCCATCTCTGGGCAGTGATTTGACAAACTGCTTTACAAGATGTTTAGGCTTCAGCGGCTCGAGTAATTTGATTCTTGACTGTCCTGAATGAGCCGCGTCTCAGACCATCGAGCTGACTTTTCGGCCGTCATGTTGTGACCTTGAGAGCTGCAGTGCATTCAGCGTAAAGCAGCATAAAGCAGCATAAAGCAGCATAAAGCAGCATAAAGCAGCATAAAGCAGCATAAAGCAGAAGGCAGCCACAAGATGATGGCCAGAACGTCAGCTCGATGAGCTGAGACGCGGCACATCATGGACAGCTAAGAAATTAACTGCTTTATAAGCCCCAATTTAATATGATGTGGTAATAATAATTTTCTAGAGGAACCAACGTCTTATTGATGACATTTTTCTTGTGTATTTGTGGGGGGGTTAAACTGTCTCGACGAGGCCAATCCCTTTTCGTCCAGCGTATATGTGTGGCTCAACTATTGCATAAAAAAAAAAAATCAAGGATATTTTGTGTAAGCCTGCTGAGCCAACAAGGTTATTTTGAAATATCTACGAACTATCCATTGATACTCTTGATATTTGATTTTCTCAAGAATCGTAGCAAAGTCATTATAGTTTTCTTTCTTATGAACTGATAGTCCTGTAAGAAGAGATGCAAATTCATTTACATTATGCAGCAAGACGTCTTTGAAGCTAGACGAAGACGAATCAATGAATATGCGCTATTCAGATGAATCAATTTCTATTTCAAAGCAATTCATGAAACTCAAAATAATAAACCAGATTTCCCCTCTTCCGAGAAAAACAGTATTTTTCATCAATGCTGTTCTAATATTTGAAATAGAGTTCGTGATGATTGTCCTTGATGTAACGAAAAAGTATACAAAGCAAGATAAAACGCGGTGAGCAAATATTCCCCTTGTTTATTCCAATTTTCGTAAATAAATATAACCAAAATCAGACTAATTTTCTGTCAAGAAAAGAGGTGGTGCTCTTACGAATGAGACTAAACTTAGTCTTTTTGCGGGTGAAGGTGATCCTGGCTTTCGATTTTGAGTTCAAAAAATTGTTCTTGTAAAAAAAAAGCAAGGAATGAGTGTTCACACTGATCTATCCAGTCAATAATTTCTTAGAAGTCGCCAAATTTTGAAGTTCTCAAAATGAATATTTTTGGGTACAAAATGAAGAAATAAGTTAGACTTGCGGGCTAAATGAATAGAAAAGTTCAGACCACTTTATTGCCTTATTCTTTGATTGTAGAATATTTTCATAGAATAAAAAAGATTCTATAATTTAATCTCTAACTAGGCGAGGGTAAGTAATTTGGGGCTCAAGAAAATATCCAGTACAATATTTTTTGGAGGATGCAAATTGGCCTACGGTCCACTGAAGCTAAGGCCCAGTCATGTTTTTCCTCGGGGTATGCATGTGAATTTATTAGGGGGATCAGTATTTCTGCTGAGTCCCCTTTTACACCCCAGGGTTGTTAGCCCTGTGGATCAGGTATGGAAAGGATATGGACAATGAAACATACAGAGACACACAAAACAACCATGCCCGAGGCGGGATTCGAACCAGCGATATTCTGGTCCGAGACAACTAAGGCACTTACTGCCTTAGAGATCTTTGCCATTGGATCGGCCAAGTATAATATTATTGCTCCAAAAACTATAAATTTTTAACTAAACTTATTTAATTGAGAGCCAAGTATTATAATGAAAGAACAGTTTATTATCCAAATTAACTCAAGTGCAAACTTTTGCAACAGGATAACAACGTTTACATGCTATTGAATCTGCGTTTTCACATACAAGATTTCTTGTTATGGATTTCGTAGACCCGGGCAAGTCTCCCAAGCCTGATTTCATGGTGATAAAGTGATTATACAGAACTTAAGCATGACGTGCAACAATGCTGACAAAAAAGTTGGTATTTTTTAAAGAAACTATCGGGTAAAATTACAATTTTAAATTGCAGACAATTACTATAAAATATATGTATTTATGTTATATGTATTTATGTTATATTTTTAACATAATGCAACTTGTAAGTTCTGATTTTACAATAAATCATTAAACTAATCATGTTGTGCAAGTTAATATAACGTTGCAATGTTTAAGAAGGTAAAACCCAACCTTCTTATGACAGCAAATACAACTATTCACAACATACAGACCCTTGCAGATATTTAGTAAATTTGTACAGAAAAGTCAAATAGTTGAAGCATGTTACCATAACATCACATGCATTCTTAATTTCATATAGCATTGCCACAAATGTACAATTCTGATTCATACAATCGTTTCCCAATTTTTCAATAATGGTAATATTGGAGTAGATACAAAATGTAGTTTAACTCCCACCCTTAGCATACAAACTTAATAACATATCTTGTATTACAATAATTAATGTAAGAGCTAATCTAACATTGTTTTGGTTGTTATTATAGCATTTCTTTGAATATTTTTACCAATTCTATTAGCTGTCATTACCATTTCCAGACCAAAATTTAAATGCATCGTTAGTTCAAGGGGATCAATTATTAATTGAAATTCCAAATTTACAAAAAGAGGTTCACTCCACAAGATGCAATCTTAAATATTACTGCAATATATTATAATCTTTATACAAAAGTGAAAAATAGGGGTAAGATATTACTGACAACAATGACCCATCAAGAAGAAGTGGAACAAATTTTCCAGTATCGTTCTTCATTCTGTTTCTTTAACACTTTCAACTGAGTCAACAAAACTAGGCGTTGCGATTCCGAGTTGGTCAAATTATCGGTCTCGGGTTCGCAGCGGAGCCATTTCTCCGAAAGGGCCATTGTTTGCAGTTGAATGGATGGGTGAAGGGCTGGGGGCAGGGCTAAAGTGGTTAGAAGTCCTTCAAATGCACTATTGACCCCTATCACAGCATCTGGACACAGTTTCACATCTGAGTTTTGCTTCTCTGCGTAAATGTAGCTTCACTATGCGCACGTTTTGTTAAATTCTGCTTGTAATGGTAAGAGTAGAGGTAAGGACGAGTTGCTATTTTGTTAGCAATGCAGAAAAATCATACTTTCAATTCGTGCACAAATGCAAATACGTTTTATAAAACTCAAACAAAAATAACTATTTTTCAAATATTGTTATCTTGCGATTTTTTAAATTTATTTTTATTCATTTATATTAAACTTTTACTCATCTTTCAACTGTTTATAGTTGAAATGACGGGAAGGGATTATGGAACTCGAAAACGTGCGCAGATAATCTTTATCCCCTTTACGTCACACAGTTTTTACAGTTTTTTGTCTAAATAAATCTAATTTAATCATCTTGCTTCCACTTCAGCGCCACAGCACCTATATACATAAATATAAATGTTTCTTAAACGTTCCGCAAAAAAATAAAACTCCTTCATTTGAAACCTAATACAAAGTTTTTCTTACCTTCAATTCTAATTATTGATGGATTATTCGTCGATTAATAGAAAAAACAATTTATTACCAAAAAATGGGTAATTATCTCAAAGCTCTTTTGTCCGTTTCGTGCTTTACACATTGCTTCATGTTCATTGTTTTTAAAAAAGTTTTACACTGCCACCGCTAGAGGCCATCTCGCTTTGCAAGGTCAGCATTGCGTCGCTTTTGGCATTCACAATGTAGAAGTTTTTGCTTTACAAAACAAAACGTTTTTAATAAAACTTCAAGGACTCCTGACTTTCCTTAATCCATATTTATCAACAGTCAACACGCACAACTCCCCAAACCTAGAACAAAAAAAAATGCACGCCAGTTCACTGCTCACAACAAATTAGACATCCAAGATGGTGTCGTTAATCTAATATCCCAAAGAATTGTCCCCGTGTTAACACGTGCAAGGCACTATCTGTACAGGGCGCTAATTACATGCTAGACACATTTAACAACATTCAGAGAACATTTAACAAGTTTTGGTATATTACGGGAGGCACAATTAGAAACATTTAGAGCATAATTGGATTTAAGGAATACTTGGCAAGTGCGGGAAGATTGATTGGCTAGACGAGTGACGCTTAATTGGAAAGTCGCGCTGCGCAACCTGGCCGAAGCACAGACAGCATGCTAGGCAGACTGCTTTCATTGCAAAACGCGGTCCCGCATGATACGCAAAGGGTGACGCGCTTTCCTGGCAAGGCAGAGACATACGCTTGGAAGAGAAAGGCGCCTGCTTGGCTATGCATGCAGCACATGCTTAGGAAAGTACAAGCGGCATTCATGGCAAGGCACAGTATGCTTGCTGGGCAAAACGCGGGGCGCAGGGAAACGCTTAGCAAGTCTCGGGGCGCTCGCTCAGCGAGGCGCGTGCCGTTTGATTCGAAAGCATCCGGGTGCTTCCACGTCAAGGGGCAGAGCTCGTGCGTGGCAAACCGCGGGAGGCGAGCTTGGCGCAGGCGCTTGCTTGGGAGGCTTCCATCTCTTTGTCCACATGGCACAGACTCTGCTTGGGAAGCATCCGAGATGTTGCTTGCATGGTAGAGCGTGGGGCGCTTGCATGGCGGAGCGTTTGCATGGCAGAGCGCGAGTCGCTTGCACGGCAGGGCGCGGGGCTCTTGCATTGCAAAGCGCGAGCCGCTTGCGTTGCAAA